CAATTAGCTGGTGGGAAGATGAAACAAAAAACGAATGTGGAAAGAAAACCTGGTGAAGGTTCTTCACGGAGTCCACCAGTAGACAGATCTGTTTCTAAACTGGAGTCAATAGGAGTGAGAATTTATGGACTTGATGAACCTCAGGGATATTCCTCATACAAAGAGATATCATGGGATAATATTGCAGGATATGATCAACAAAAACGGTATGGAAAGAAGTTGCAAATGCTCCTTCAAATTTAGTTTGTTGCCTGACCTTTTAGTTTGCCATTCAAGCTTCTTCCTTGGTTTATTCCAGACTCCAGGAGAACAGAGAGATTTTCTAATAATTCTATGTGACATGCACTGTTATACATGAGACGTAGTGTTCTGAATAGTTGAAAGTCAGAATTGCTTGTTTCTGCTTCTGTTGTTTAAGCCACAATGTGTAAATGGAGCCAAGCATCTAGTTATGCCGTTTTTTTTTTTTTTTTTGTGGTAAAAATTTAGTTCTAGCATATGGATATTGAAGTGTTAAAGACATGGATATCTTTCATGTACAGTTTCTTTGCTGACAAGGTAGTAGAAGTTAATATGCTTTCCAAAATTAGTGGCGCTAGTATTTGCACAGTTCCCTTCATATAAAGGCTTATTGCTATCGCAAAAAGACTTATTACCTATATGGCCTCGAAGCTTGGGAGTTTAGACCTCAATTATAAATGTTCCAAGTATCTAAAATTTGTAACCACATTGTATGGCTTGCTAAGGTTGGTAAGGTTTCTTTTTCATGAAAACTGAAGGGTACCTCTATTTTTTTAGTGATTCACTTTTAGCTCCCCATGCAATATTCCCTTTCTTTTTTCTCCTCGAGAAATTTAAACACGCTTGATAAGGCCTTTATACAATTAATTGAATGCAAGTAAATTAAGCTTAACTGGACTATGTTATAGTACTTCTTGGTCTTCGCTTCTCATTTAATATGTGTAACCCTGTAAGCACGCTAATCTATGGTGAGGCTGATATTGTTGGATTGGATTATAAATGTTTGTGTCTCTTTAGCAGATTCTTGCTTTCTTTTCTCTCTTAGAGGCTAAAAACCAGTGAATCAGTTAATTTGCAGATCAGTTTATGAGCATGATCTCTTTGAGGGAATGTTTCTTTTACCAGTAAATTGCTAAAAATGCACTGTGATTGTAACATAATTACATGACCCATATCTCCTCTGTGTTGTGTGTTTGTATATAATTTATGTAATTATTCATGCATTTGTGGCTCTGCATAAAAGTGCTTGAACTTCTATTGACTATTCTCTATGTAGGGAAATAGAAGATACAATATTGATGGCCCTTCACAGTCCTGAAGTATATGATGACATTGCTCGTGGGACTAGGTGTAAGTTTGAGTCTAACCGGCCTC